GGCTTCGCCTAACAAAGGCAGGGCCCAGGCTCCAAGTCAACAGAGTCCACCGAAGCAACAATCACACATTATTTCACAACATTCAATCGATAACAACAATAGTTGTCCTAGAGTGATAAAGCACACTACCAGAAGCAACACATTGCACGATCGTACTCAATCAAGTACGTTCGATCAAATAGCGATATCATTTTGTCTCAGATACGATAACACTCAGAATCCACATAGAACACATACCCCGGGGCGATAAAGTACACCTCCGGGTCATTTAACGATATGCATTTAATATTTCAATAATATTTAAAATGTGATCACGGGTGCAGTGAATTTCAAATTTATCTATTCCCATACTCCCAGTTTTTTAAAAGAGTGAGAATTACTCACCGGCATTACCAGTCTCCTCAGTGTCCTCACACACTTGATCTGTAGAAGTTGTAATTATTAGTCCAGCCACTGCACCTAAGTAGTCAGGCACTTGTACCTAATCACTAGCTAAAGTTAATAATTAATTGAATACATTATTCTTGACGTTAAGTAATTACTTAAGATGCTTTTGCTCTTCTACTTACCACATAGGCTGTTAAAGGTGGCTGGAAGTCTTTCATTACTTATACGGCCATAAATAATTCCATTATCAGTGGATTAATGATGTGGTTTTGGTATATTAGGGTAAGCATATTAAGTGGACAAATAGGGACCATCTGTCGTATATGATAAAGATGAGTTTTTTTGTGTGTGATATGGGTATATATCTTATTGATCAACTCTTACTAAAACTATTTACCACCACTAGGATTACTACTACTACTACTATAATCATTGCTATTAGTGTTTCTCTTCCTGAATTGATTACCATTTTTATTTTCACAAGAAATGTGCTCCATTTTAACTACACATTTACGGGTTTAGTTCTTGGGAGTCTACTCTAACCGTACTAGTCATATATACTTAATTAATCTATTAATTTTTAGCCAGTGGAGCTATAGGGTCAAAGTAATTGATTACTTCGTATCTTTCGCTTTCCTCTATTTTTGTTTTCTCTTTGTGGACAGGTAATTAATTAGTACTATCAGATGAGCAATTGGTAATGCTACAACCATTTTGCTATCGGGATGAAGTTTTAGACTCCAACTCCAAGTATAATGATCCCAAGTTATTAGCGTCCAAACTGTTGAAATCTTCATTCGGCCATGGAACCGAATCAACCTTTAGCTTGCTCATCATAATATTAAGTACCCATTTCTCTTTTCCTAGCCGCTTTCGGTATCCGATAATCGAATGATTTCAATGTTTATTCCTCAATATATACATACCACTCCCTCCCCGGATTACCTAAAGGCGACGGTTGATAATCGGTATCATCCAAATCCAAAATGAATGAGTAATCGAGGAGAGAAAAGGAAAACTATCAATTGATGGAGAGGAAAGGTAATCCACTGTTTGAGCTGCGGTGGATTTGTTAGCCTTACGACACGTGGAAAATTTGTGACTATCTACCGTACCTAAACGGGCTCATGTTTCCGGATGTAGCTTTTATATATGGCAAGGATTTTGTACAACGAAAAAAATCAAAACTTTTTTTTACGCACTACTCGCTGGAGAGGATTTGATCAATATACTTTTAAAAGGTTTATTTAGAGTCTTAATATTCCACTAAAGTAGTATCCCTTCAAATTTGACCACTATTTTACCGAGAAGGAGTTAGGTTGTCGAAGTGAAACATATTTACTGAGAATTAAATTTTGCCAAAGATTTACTAGCCTTACTAGTTGCTATCATTTAGAGGTGATTATACCGAAGTGCCGCCAACTGTTTTTTTACGGTGATGTTTGAGGCATGTTTGTTTCTATTTTACGATGCAACAACAGCAGCAGCAAGCGAACATTAAAGAGAAATTACCAGCAATAGTCGGTGCAAGAAAGGGCACAATAAAGAGGTTGTGAGGTGCGGCATGACCGGAGAAGGCTGACGGCAGTGCAAGAATGCAGCACTGACCGGGAGATGATTGAAGGCGGCGCAAGAATGAGATGCAACATGACCGGAAGATGACGAATGGCGGTGCAAGAATGAGATGCGACACAAACGAAGGAAGACTGACGGCGGCGAAAGAATGTAGCACTGACCGAAAGATAAAGGATGGCGGCGCAAGAATGCAGCACGACCGAAAGATGAGTTGTAGGGAAAAGGCGGCAATGTTGTATGCCTGAATGAATGCAACAACGTCTGATAGAAGAATAGACGGTGCGAAAAATAAAAAGAGTAAAGATATATTATGTGCTTGCTTCGCTGTGATCAAAGAGAATCAGTGGGGTTCGTTCGTCTGATAGCAAAAGAAAAGGACTCAATTGATAAATGCAAGAGTCGGAAATTGAGATCAAGGACTAATTTGCACAAAAAAAAATTCAAAAGGGGTGATGTGAAAATTTCACAAAGTAAAAGGACTGGAACACAAATTTGCTGAATTGGCTCGGCGGGTGAATTTGCTAGTTATTTTTTTATTTTTATGGTCTTTTAGTGTTGGTTTGCAGCAACAGAATTAGAGAGGCTGTGGTGCTTTTTGTGTTTTTGTGTTGTAGAGAAGATGGTGATGTGGATGATGGATGATGGTCTGATAGTGATGATGGATGATGGAGGGCAAATTACCAAGTTGAAACGTGAAACAACAAAAGTGATTTGGGTGAATTGATGAATTTTTTTTTCATGAGCTTTTATTTTTTTTTTTGTGGGAAGAGGGAAGTACATCCGAAAAATAAACGTGCAACGGCCGTGAAAGAGAGAAGAAGATCCTACGACAACCTTGACGATGGAAGAAAGTTCAGCGGCCAAAAAAGGGAAATAGCCGATCAAAGGAAGAAGGAAAGGCTGGAGTGGGGGGATTGTGATTTTTTTGGTTTTGTTTGTTTTAGGGGGAAGGTGGCGGAGAAGAACGGCTCACGCCCGAAGAAGATGATGGCGGCATCGGGTTAGGAGAAAAGATACGACCATCCTAAGAAAAGAAAGGAGAAGAGGGTGAACGGCCAAAAAAGAATTAAAAAATAGATTTTGTAACCTGGCAGAGAACAAGAAGGGACTGGGAACAACCGCAATAAGGTTGTGGATGATTGTGGTGACAGAAGGAAGAAGGGCTCAAACGTAAGAAGTGGAAAGACGTGGCAGAGGGAGAAAGGAGGGGCAGTGGAAGGTAGAAAGGAGAGTAAAGATGACTTCCGTGGCGGTGGCTGCCAAGAAGAAAGGAGAAGAAAAAAAAAAGGTTTTTATAACCTAATTCGATACCAATTTGGAGAATAGAGTGGCTTGTATTAAGCAATTAATCTATGATTATTACATATGTTTATATAGAGAACCCTAATAAAATACAAGATAAACGTAACCACAACTCTAAATAATTAACTAAATAATATCACAACTCTAGATACTTATCATATGAGATAATTATCAGATTGAACTTAGAGAATGGAATGGCTTCAATTGAGCAATTGTCTAATGACTATTACATATGTTTATATAAAAAACCCTAATAAGATACAAGATAAACTTAACCACAAGTCTAAATAATTAACTACATAATATCACAATTCTAGATAATTATCATATAAGATAATTATCATATTGACAGTGACTTGAAATGAGAGTAAATTGCCTTAATAGTTCAAGTTCCAATTGAAAAGCAAAATCATTTGTGAAAGTCCAATGACAAGTTAACATGAATCAGTAATTAATTAAAATATTTGTTAGGAGAATTTTGTATTGTATAAGATGAAATTTAATGAAGTCAATAATGAATTAAGCTGGAATTATAATTTTAGAAATCGAGTGAGTAATATACACACGACATGGGAAAATACACATTTGATGCGAAGTTGGGAAAAGATATTAATTATCTAAGAACTAGGCTCAAGCATAGTGAGAACTAATGCAGGCATGCAGCAATGTATAGTGAGCCCAGTCATTCCGTTTCATTTGACAAAAAGGAAGAATGTTAATGTGAGGTAATTGTTCGAAAAAAAAAATAAAAATGAAACGTTTTGCTTTCATCATGCAATTATATTATACACTACACTGTAAAATCACACATTTCATCCAGCTAATTGGGTAATCCATCATGACATGCCCTCACTTCAGTATATAAAATAAGGTATTGTGTTCGGTTGTCAGTCTTATTTCTTATTTCCAAGGGATATATCGTAATTTAAAATTTTATACGTACATTATAAAGAGGGCCAATCGATTTTTTCAACCGCAGCCAGAATTGAGCACGCCCCTCGACTTGTCATTATGGTTAAGAACAACATTCTTAGTTCCCCACAGTAGGGCCTTGTCCCTTAGAAACCAAATAAATTAATTTATTTTCTGAAAATATTATTTCCATTGTCCTGATCTGGACTCAATCGAAGCAATCAAATTACTAATAATGCCTTGTTCACTAAAGTAGTGGTTTATATTTAGAGCCATTAGATACTCAGTACCAATTATGTCTCATTGAAAAAGATACTATGAATATTACTTTGAAAATGTAAAATTTTATGATTGTTTTTTATACTCCCTCATGTCCTTATTATAAGGTATTTTAATTTATTCTATGTTTTATATGTTTTTTTATTGGGAAAAAAATCTTTAAATTAAATTTTCATATTTATTGTGTTTTCCTAATTATTAGGAAATATTTTTAAGATTTTTATTTTTTCAATTGGAAAGACATACTAGGTGAAACATAGGAAAAATCAAAATACCTTATAATAAGGACCAACTCGAGTATATACTGACCCAGTGTTCTAGTTCGTTGTGTCTACACGCTTCATATTTGTAAATATGAAATAAACTATTTCTTTTTTTTGACGGTATATTAAAGCATACTATTATCTCGATGATTTACGAATGATTTGCATAATGGACAAATGAAAAGAAGGAAGATCATCTTGCACCACAAAATTATACATATGCTAATGTGAGTTCAGGTCAGCTATAAATACCATGTAGTAGAAGTGCCATTTCATCCAGCATCCCAAGTGAGTAAGTCAGCTCAGAAACCCTAACATGGCTACTCCTTCAAAGATCCAATTGTTCTTGAATCTTCTTCTTTTCCTAGCTTTCATTCCTGCTGCTTTTTCCACAGCTCCAACTTCTTCTGTTTCTTCCATTGATCAACTCCAATATTGGTCCAAAAACGTCCTCAATCCCATGCCTAAAACCATTGCTTCGAAACTTTCCCCACTTTTGAAACAAGACTCGAATCACTTCGCTTCCTTAGTTTCATCAAAACAAAGGTTCCCCTTTGATTATGCCAATTTCTGCTCTAAGGCCAAGTTATTCTGTTCCACAACATTAGATAATATCCGTCAAAACCTTGGCAATGGATACAACTCATACAATATCGACAAACATGCCTCGAACAAAGGCAACCCTGATCCCAACTCTTTCTTTAGGCTCGCAATCCTCAAGAATGGGAATAAAATTCATCTTCCAGATTTGAATGATCGAATCCCTTTTCGTGCATTTCTTCCGTCCCAAATTGCATCAAAGATATCCACAATGAAATCTAATGATCTTGAAAATTTTTTCCCACAATCATTTACGTCACCGGTCACTAAAGAAGCCATAGAAACTAGCATCTTGTATTGTAGCTCCCCAAGATTAAAGGGTGAAATCAAATCCTGTCCCAATTCAGTAGAGGATATGATAAATTTCTCAAAGAAGAGTTTGGGAGAGAACAAATTAATTGCACTGACTAGCCAGAGCACAAAAGGGTCCAATAAGGAGGTTGAAATCCAAAACATAAAGCAATTCCGTTCTGAAAAAGTTGTTTCATGTCACGAAATTTTCTTTCCTTTTGCTACTTACTTTTGTCACCTGCTCTCTTCTACTCGGCTCTACTCCGTTGATGTTGTCGATCCGGCTACAAAAGTTCCCGTAAATAGGCTATTGGCAATATGTCACATGGATACGTCAGGATGGCCGGTAGAACACGTGGCGTTTAAGATTTTGAAATTCACTCCGGGACGCGGCGAAGCGTGCCACTGGTTCACTCAAATTGATCTTGTTTGGTTAGGAAATAATGGAGCAGATCAAAAGATATTATGAAGTTGAATTTATGTCTCTATTTATACGTGGGAAGTCTAGTTAAATCCGATGAAATTGATCATCGATGATCCACTTCTGGATTTCGTGTGTAAGGTTTGTAAAAAAACTATGTGCTTCGTGTTTACTACGTACGTCTACGTACTCTTGGTTTGAATCATATGAAACCCATGTAACTCTCTCTTTCGCGTGTAATAATCGTATCTTTTTTGTTTTCTTCTTTGTTTGTCATTAAGTTATATGCTTTTGAATAGTTTGAAAATTGTTGAAAATTACCAAGATTATTTATTTGCAAGCATGGCCACCAGTTCATACGACCGAAACCGCCTCCGCCTAGCTTCCGACCGGCCGGATCCGTAGCCTAATTTGGCTAGAAAAGGGCTGTCGACTGGCTTGGTGTAGTTCACTTGATATGAGAAGTAAAATCATGGAATGAATTGCTGTTATAGGTCAACGAATATGAAACTAAATTTAGCGACCGGGAAAAGAACACTCGCATCCCCCCTAAATTTTTCCTACTTACTATAGACATGTTAAATTTTTCGTAGAACATTATGCATTTAGCTTATTTCCATACCTGCTTTAAAATATTATAGTGTTACTAATTATTTTTGTAAATCTCGCACCTCTTTCTCAAATGTCAATGGAAAGAAAAACCATTTGAAGTCCAAATGACAGAATTAACAATGTTGTGCTCTAGTGATAAAACAAATACATGGGAAAAATACTCTCATTTCAATCAATTCGTCATAGAAATCTTGAGTATATCTTTTCGATTAATCTCTTCTTTCAAGAAAATGAATGTATACACCTATCATTTATAGGAAAAAATTAAGTACACAGTATAGCCTGTAAATCAACCTATTACTTTCGTAATGGATACATCAATTAAGTCCCTCGAATATATATGTGAGATCTCATTACCATTGTTCCAATAAAGTTCTAATAATTAAATAAGAGAACAAATAAAAAATCACATCATTTCTTACTCAATTATTTGATCTAATCTGGGGACAAATCAAATTTTGGGAGTATCCAGCATATATTGAACCCATCCCGGCAACCCCGCAACCCACACCCCCCCCCCCAACAAAAAAAAAGAAACGAAAAAAAGGAAACGCGCGCGCACACACACTAGAAACGATAGTTAAAGATGGTAACTTAAAAATAAAATAAAATAAAGAATTTGCCCGTCTTGATCTCAATGAGTTTTTCTTTTTTTTTTTTCTTAAAAAGAAAATGTTTGAAGGAGGGAACTGTCGCGCAAAAGAGAATGGCGTTCCTTTTGCTTACTACTTATTATCTCTAAATATATGAAACAAGTTTATAAGTTCTACAAGCTAAGCTTTTGATACATATAGAGTAATTAATTACTAGGAATGGATGATTAAATATACACTAAAAGCAACTTATTAATATTTCCTTCACACATAATGCTATGTTTTGTATGGTTGATTCACCAATATTGTTCATAATCAACATCATATTAGTGCATAACGAGTCATCATGACCCTTTGGATAATTCAGAAATCAGAGACCAAACCTTAAAAAAATAAATAAAAAAAGGACAAAAGAAGCAGCTAAAGGAAACCCTCAACTTGACATTTTGGATAAGTGCCTATTTTCCGTTGTACCCTACTGGCCGCTGTCCTTTGCAAATCACGTGAAAAAAGATTCTTGTTCATTATTAATTTTCTTTTGTCCCCTGCATATCATATCCCTGGTCTAGACTGGATCAAAACGAGTGAATCTAAAATATCCAGTGCTAACTTGCCGACATTGATACAGAACCTAGTGGCAGCCATAGTTGATATAGTGGCTCATTTAGGGTGGTTTTGTACCAATAAAAAATGTTTAGCGAGAGCAATCATTAGGCATTTTTAAGCTCTGGTTGATTAGCTTGACACAAAAAAAATGTCTTATCCGGAAGCATAGATCATTATCAAATAAATTAATCTTTTTCTCTGCTTTAGTTTCGTGCAACAAATATGCCTTTAGTTATAGTCGTGCAACAAATATGCCTTTAGTTATAGGCGTTTATAACTTGTACTCTCTTTTTTCTCAAAATAATTGTTATATTTAAATTTTAAATTTACTCTTTTCGGTCCTTAATATATAGGGATTTTGATTTAGCCCTAGGTTTCACCTACTACGCATTTTTAATTGATGAAGAAAACTTAAAAATATATTTTCACATACGTTGTTTTCTGTTTGTTGTTATGAAATATTCTTAAGATTTTTTTATCAATTAAAAATATGGACTCGGTTAAACTTAGGACAAATCAAAATGCCTTATATTAAGGACTGGAGGGAATATTAAAATTTGTAGTCAAGCTAAACATTCAAACATCTATCTCGAGATATAGGAAGTACTAGGTAAGTTGATTTTTTTTATATATATAAGAATTAGAGAGTAACTTTGTGATCATCCTTAGAGAGTAACTTTGCGATCATCATTGATTTAAAAGAGAGGCACAGAAATATGCTAATTAGGCACTAGCATCCTTCGTTGTACAAAAAAAAAATAAAAAAATTGAGGTATAAAAAATAAAAGTATTGTAAAAGCGTGGAAGGGACTATTTCACCATTAATCATAGATCGAGATTTTGAATATTTCTATAAGATAGAATAACTTTAAATTCTCTGGCCAACTGGCCCACACCAAGAAAGAAAACCTAATGAGTTTTTTACTGAGCGTTACAAGTAAAAACATATTTAAGCTAAACTATGAAAACAAACCTGTTGTTGAACTAGGTCGTTATTGTGCCTTATGAGACTAAAAATGACTGAATTGTATTCCAACGATAGTATAATTCTGAGTACATGGCTGTATATACAGATTAGATTACGAAGATAAATACTAGTAATTACATCTATACGACAATAGATTGATAAGTACGAATGGTAGATAAATACAATTATGTTGACAATGAGAATGTCATTACACATAAACAAAACTAGATGTTACCCGCACGATGTGCGGGATTAGAATAAGTATTTTTATGAAAAATTTTGTAAAACTTTACTAATAGCTTGAAAAGAAATTAATCTAATTAAAAAAAACGCATTAAATTTTGAAAGCAATCAAAAGTCCTTTAAACTCAAGCATGTAAAGAAGAAGAAATTAATTATTATATATATCATTACATCAAATGAGGTTGGGCCGACATAAAACTAAAAAGGATTGTTGTGTAGTTTAAAAATCTCTCTCTAGTTTCTCTATTAATATAATATATTATAGATATAAAATATTATGTTATAAAAATGATATTTTCTTAGTTATAAAACTCAACATCATTAAATTAGAATATAAATTGATTAGTTTATGTTTCATATTGAGATTGAATTCCAAAATTTATTTTTTTTTGTGTGTTAAAAATGACGTAAAAGTAAGAACTATATTTAGACTCTACGAAAATAATTGAGTTCTATTATTAATAAGTTTTGAAAATTTGTTATTAAATTTTTGTACCATTAATTCAACAAAATAAATATAAAAAATAAAATAATACCTAAACCGAATTTATACTCTGAACAACTGTTTTGAAATGGGTAAACCCACAATAATCAATTCTTGTTATTATACCTAACCCCATAATAAATCATGAACAAATGAAACGTCCCCTTACTCTCTAACCTTAATAAACGGCCGAATGTGAGTAGCTAAAAATGAGAAGTTTTGTTACATCCTCCCATACCTAGCAAGCAAATCATAATCAACCGTTAATGCTCCAAATCTACCTTAAGGGAAAAAAATATTCAAAAGCATGCATATAATAAGCATAATCTTTTTTTACCTTAAATAGCTTTTCCATTTCACTTTAAATTTCCGGTGGATGTGTGTAAAATTTGCTATATTTATGCAAATTCTATCACGCATTTTTCAAAATTAATTGACTGAGGCAATTGACCAACATTTACGGGTTGGAACAGTAGTGAACAAAATTAACCACAGGAATACAAATTATTGGTGGAGCATCTAAGTTATCCAGGAATACAGATTGAGTTTTGAAAAAAATTAATATCTTCCTATTAATATTAATAGTAGTTCGTATAGGAAGGAATTGATTGGAGCATTGTTCTCGGCCATCTACATATGGGTTTTTCTGATTATTAGTGGCTTACAAATCAACCTATCACAATTACACACTGATTGGACAGTTTTTTAATTTAATTGCATAATAATATGGTATCTTTATTACTTTTTTTTTTTTTTGAAAACGATCTTCATTAAATTTAATTTATCATGTAATGTGATAAGATTTAAACTTTAGCTACGTGATGTATGCCAATGATGATCTAGGGCTGATACTTTAAAATTATGCAGCTGCATATATGTTGATCATTTACCTCAATCATATCCTGATTATGCACATTTATTTTTTAAAAAAAAGACTTTCGAATGCTATTGTTAATTAATACCCGTAAATGATAATCACGTCATCAATTATTTTAATATAATGTAAATTTTGAAGGCTTAGTGATAATTTCCATTAGTGATTTTTGAAAAATTTATCAAAAAAATGACACATGATTTTTGCCAATGTGGCAGTTTAGAAATTAAGTTGTGGGATGCCAAATGCATAATGTGTTCTTATACTTTTTTTGACATTTTTTTCTTCTCTTTTTGTTATAATTTTGACATGTCAAAATACCATCCATGTGTATGGAATTTATGTCATACATATCGTGGTTTTAACCGACTACATTGGCAATGATGTCTATCATGGTATTTGGAGGCTAGTATAAACCTTCTGCGTTTCACAACACCTATCTCAAAAGAACTATTCATGAAAAAAAGACAATATTACATATTGTACATGTGTTCACAGTAACTAAATATAATTTTCTAATTTAAAGTTTTCATGATTGTACATAGAATTTGAAAAGATAATCTTACATATCTAGATATATCTAATACAATAAAAACTTTCACGTCGCTGGATTGAAGTTCAACTGAAGCATGTGCCATCATTCGAAGTAGGAAATTGGGAGAACATACAAAAGATTCTTTCTTAATTGTTAAGGGTTTCTCTTCTTTGGCTTGACTTACTCAGGCCCATTAGGACCTAATCATCCACTCCACGCTTTAGTGCTTACCATGGTTGCTTGGGGCAATGGTGATAGTCTTTCAGAGATGATAGCACTTTTCGAAAACCCCAAAATCTGCCCACTGAAATATTAATTAGATACAAAACTTGATTCAAAATGATCATAAATTAATAACATCTTCCTTCTTTTAATGACAATATTTAGGTAATACAATATACAAAAAGACGTATTTGAGTCAAAATCTGTCAATCGTAAAAAGATTAGAGGGTAAGCAAAAATCAAATAATTAATTGTAACAAAAACCCTACGCAAATTTACAAAATAAAGAATAGTAATAAAATTTACACCCGAGTTTATCTCCCAGGGCATGCCTAAGGTGGTCTACCTCCCACTATAGTTTGCAGGCTATTGAAATGAGCGTGGGTTTACCCATCTCTGGTAGGGTTCCCGACGTCATAAAAAAAAATCCTACGCAAATTTACAAAATAAAGAATAGTAATAAAATTTTATTTTTGTTCTGTAGTTAAAAATCATAGTAATGAACTGGGTGGAAATGGTGTTCTTCACGCCAATTTTGTTGCTTTGAAAAAAGAAAAGATGAAGAAGAAGAAGAGAAAAAGAAACGAAAACAAAAAACAAAAACAAAAAATAAAATACAAATTCATGTTTTCCTTACTTCGTCATGGTCACCCCATTTTCGAACCTGCAATGTACAAAGAGAACATTTTGATTAAAAAAAATCAGGATTCAATTCCAGAGATTAAACCTACCGGTACTTCATTAATCAAGAATTGAAAATGTTCTTGGGGTAGAATTAGGCCTCACGTTGCAGCCTGTGAATATGAATGCAATTACTATTTATGAGATTTATATATATAAAAGAGGTGACACATGAAAATTTAATATGGAGAGCGGTAATTCAAATAAGTTGACCTTTTGGGAAAAAAATAATTGTGATTATCACCACGATTTTCTCCCTGATAAAACTTATATTTCGGTCATTGATTTTATTCGATTATATTATTTACTACAGATAGAATTTATTATCTATGAAAAAAATTCAAAATGAAGCGCAGAATTCCAATTATTCCATGATTTTGGGGAGAGTTAGTGTCTCTTTAATTTTCATTGATGATTTTAATGATAAGATAAGAAAAGAAACCAATTCTACCCGAAAGTTGTGGTTGGGTGTTTTATATAAATTTAAGGACTATTTAACAATTACAGAAAGTATTTTTGTTGAAATGCATTAGAAAATCCTATGCGGCACCTTTAGAATTATTTTTTGTTTTCTCTCTCTGGTTTCTCTCTTAGTATAATATATATACTATAGATATCACCTTGTATCATATATATTCTGAGTTTGGAACTATAAATGCAACATAGTATTTGTGCCCTTTCATCCAGCACCATACTTAATAATTAGCTCACAAACTTAAACATGGCAATTCATTCAACAATATCCCAAATCTCCTTGAATTGTCTCTTTTTCCTTGCTTTAACACCTTGGTGTCCATAGTTCATTCTTCCTCCGTTTCTTCCATTCAACTTGAATTTTGGTCCAAAAAAGTTCTTAATGCCATGCCTAAAACCATTTCATCCAAACTATCTCCATTGTCTCAACACGACTCGAATTATTTCGCTTCGTTAGTGCAATCAAAACAAGCATTCTCTTTTGGTTATGACAAATTCTGCTCCAAGGCAAATTTAGCCTGCTCAACAACATCTCAGAGCCTTCTTCAAGGAGTTAAAAATGCGTACAACAAATACAACGATGTAAGCTCTGCTCATGCCTCAGATAAAGCTGATCCCAACTCTTTCTTTAGGCTCTCGATTCTCCAGAAGGGAAACAAAATCAAACTACCAAATTTAAATGATCAAATCCCTCTTCGTTCATTTCTTCCTTCTGAAATTGCATAAAAAATATCCCCTACTTCTTCTAATGATCTCAAGAAATATTTTCCTGAATTATTTACTTCGGTTGCAAGTAAAGAGGCCATAGAAACAAGCATTCTGTATAGTAGCTCTGCCAGCTTGAAAGGTGAGATTAAATCATGTCCCAATTCTCTTAAGGAAATGATAGAATTCTCCAAGAAATCTATGGGTGAGGAGAAACTGGTTGCATTAACTGGCCAAAGCACAAAAGGGTCGGAAAAGGAGCTCGAGATTCAAAATATCAAACAATTTCATTCTGAAAAAGTTGTGTCATGTCACGAAATTTTCTATCCCTTTGCTACTTACTATTGTCATCGGCTCTCCTCCAGTCGACTGTACGTTGTTGATTTTGTCGACCCGAAGATGAAAATTCCGGTGAACCAGCTATTGGCAATATGTCACATGGATACATCGGAATGGGCAGCGAAACAGAAAGCGTTTAACATTTTGAAATTTTCTCCAAGGCATGGTGAGGTGTGCCACTGGTTCACACAAATTGATCTTGTTTGGATGGGAAGTAATTAATTAATGGAGATCTCAATGGACTGTAATATATGTAATAATCTTTGCTTATTTCTATTTCGTTTGTGTTTTTACTACATACCCAATGCAGGGTCTAAAAAGAATTTTATTATATCATTTCAAAAAGAATGAAACCGAAAAGGGAGGCAAAAACAAAACCCCCTCATTTATTCACATTTTAGGGCTATTAGTATGTTTCTAAATTTAGATTAAATTTATCTTTTATGTTATAATTATCTGATAATGTGGATGTCCACAAGGTAGAAGAGTTGTACTAGAATTCTTTTGTATATAATATTTAGTTAGATATTATCATCTGTTTGTTCTTGTACTAGATGCTACCCATGCTTTGAACGGGGCAGAAATATCGCAATTTAAATAAATATAATGAATAAACAAATATTTGGAAAAACGTATATGATATAGATTTCATACATCGTTAATCATGAATCAATTAGTGTTCAAAAAATACAGTTAGTGTTGAAATAATGCAGTACATAAGGAATAGAGTAATATTCAAATAAATTGTGTGACTTTATTTGGACAACAAATTAAAAAATTATTAGAAAAAAAAATTTAAATTTGAATTACATATACCATAAATTTTAACACTTTTTTGTAACAAACATTTATAGTTTGTTTCTCACATCACCGTTTTGATCACATAGTATTACTTTAATTCATTGTATTGAAATAACCAATTCATGACCGAACACGGAACGTGATACATATAATCTAACTCGGACTAGACCACACTTTCATTTATCGTCATTGATAAACAAATGACAAATAAACTTATCTTCATTTTGTACTGAACCGCAATTTAAAATTTTATTTCACTTTTATATAATGTTCAACTATACAGCTAGACCATTCTTGGATGGGGATATTTTTTTAATTCCTTCAGCCCCACGCTAAAATTCTCTCATCTGCCCATTACTTGAAGATCTTTACCAATCTATTGCAGTGCACTATAATCATTATCCTCTTCGACGGGTGATTCTTGAAAGTAGTATCTCAAGTGGTAATTGAGGTGAAAACACCAAAATAACCTCCTCGCGCCTTTGGGGAAAAAAAAACAATTACCTCTCGTTGCCTTCTTCCTTTGTTTGCTTTTAGTTTAAAGTACTAATCTTGAGTGACCTGAAATTATGGTAGATTAATGCAAACTGTAAAAACTTTTTCTTAAAAAAAATAAAAATCAGTAAAATCAAGTTACCATCTAAAGATATTCCTAATTAATTATGTCATAGAGAAAATGGGCAATAATAATAGGTCTATACTTTCAAGGAGAAAGTTTTTGTAAACTAGTATGTCATAAAAAAGAAAAAGTTAAAATCAAATCTTGAAGAAAAAATGCAACATTCAATCCAAATAACCTACCCGATTCGAAGTATGATAATGTACTGCACAAACACAAACCAATGGAGGGAACAAAAGGGATATTAAACTATAACATTGTAGTGTCTGGAAACTGAGAGTGTACTCTGAAAGCCCCTCTATTAAAAATTTAACCTGCGAAAAACAAAAAAAATTTCGATCCAGACTATATTAATTGAAACAATGAAACGAAATAGGGAAATACTACTACATTTAATTGAATTGATCATATTGAGACCTTCTATGTTAATGAAGTAGAAAACATGCTGGAAGAAGAAAATAGAAAAATACAATGATAAAAATAAAACATAATCACCCCGAGTGTTTGCATTCTTTTATAAATTTTTTTCATCAATAATTCAAATCTCCAAAATTTCTCAAAAGATAAGGAATACAAATCTTTCATGAGAATATATTTGAAATTCTCTCTTTTGTATTTCTCTCATTAGTTCAATATATTTATTTTAATATTCCAATATTAAGTAAATTTTGAGATATATAAGAGAGATTTTAGGGATTACATTTCATAGTTACCAACATCCATCTTTTTTTCAATTTTCAAAATCAAATTTTTAACCGAAGATATAATGTTTTTTTCCTCTTTAATAAATCAAAAAATAAAGAAAATTGCCAGATATATAAGAAATAAGGGTGGCCAAAATCAAGCAGCTTCAGGGATTTTTTATTATCTTTTATTGAATGGAAATTTTTTTGAATTAATTGGGTTTGAATAAATTATGAATGTAGCCATGATTTGGTCTTTAGTTAGTCCATTAAAGAAAAATATTGTTACCAAATTAAGGTGATTTTTTTTAAAAAATATGAGAGCATTTAATATTAAAATTAATTAATATGAATAATTATGATGATTGGGGATAATTGGTATTATTAATATGCTTCAAGGATTATTAGTATAAATTCAGAAACTATTTTATCCCAAAGTTTTGAGGAATTAACATGTAGGAGTTTTGCTTACTTGGCACTCTAGAAATATGTTTTTGTATTCTCTCTCTGGTTTTCTCTTAGTATAATACTATTTGTATCTATTGTACCTATAAAAGGAGGTCAGTCTCTGTAGAAATAACACAGAGATCATTCTCTCTTTATTCCTCTCTATTATTTTCTCTCTTTTGTTCTGTCCCTACTTGTTGTTCTTCTATAGTCCTGTATATTTACTCTCGTTATTCTCTCTACTATTCTCTCTCTTTTGTTCTCTCCATACTTTTTGTTCTATTATAGTCATATATATTTACTTTATAACACGTTATCAACACGAATCTCTATCTAATTGAGAAGATTTTAATCTATAGATCAGGGAGTGCGGTAAGTTAATTTGGATCTGTGTATTAGGGAGTGCGGTAAGTTTTTTCTTGTTTTGTAATATTGGATACAATCAAGTGCTCTTATAGTAGCCATTTCTATTATAAATTTTTCGTGTATTGAATTTGCTCCATTATTAGCAATTCATGAAAATATTCAAAGAGATTTTCTCCACATTCTGAAGAAAGTAGATTTAAATATGTTCAAATATCATAGTCACATCAACTGACCACTTGAAGTGGTAAATATGAATAAAGACATGCGATAGTTATTGATCCTGTCAATCAAGATAAATTATCGAAACATCCTCCAAAAGGTGGATATGTTCCATCCTCCAAAGCTCCGCTCTAATCGGCCAGAACAAGAAAAACAACCATCGCAGCCATTGGAAAAACTACCATTCGAGCAGGAAAAAGCATCAGTGGATCGGTCAGCATCCGCGCCGAACAAGGGAGAGAACAAGGGCAACATCAATCCACATCGGCAGCAAACAAGGGCAGCAAACACCATGAATCGCATAGCTCTGAGTTTCAGGTTTTAATGCTGGATTCTCAACTCACAAACCAGCAAAAGAAGCTGTAAACAAAGGAAAAGCCATCAACTGCGCTGAAATCAATCCAAACGCCGGCAAAGGGGGAAACCTCAATGAATGATGTTGCGCCACCGTTATCTGATCAACGAGTTGTCGCTGTTCCAATTAATGATGGCGAGAAGCATCTATCCGTTTCCGACCAAGCTCTTCCAATGGACGTTGTTCATCGATCAATAATGGAGGAAGGACGGCGAAATCTTCTGGCGACAAGCGACGGACAGATTCCCAAGTCAACGCTCCCGCAAATTCCGAGTCAATTAAATTCCGAAATGCCAAATTCGAATGCGGAAAGGACGCAATCTACTCCCGCAAATTCTTCGGATTCTGATTCTCCAATTTTAAATTCAAATTCCAACTTGCCTGCCGCAACTATCGCGTCTTCAATGCCTCGCGCTTCTCTCACAGTTTCACATGGAAAAGAGTTAAAGTTGAAGTCAATCACATCACCAACTGATCCGCTACTGAGTTACGCGTCTACTGCAGATATTGCGCAGTCAATTCTACCGAAGATATTCTCCCGCAATCGGATTCAGATATTCCTATATTAAACATGGTGACTTCTAATTCAAATTCACCTCTACCGCGCCCCTCTCCCTCAAAATCCGAAGACATATTCTCTCAAAATAACTCAGCCACCAGCTCCACACAAAAACTAAATCCCACTACAGTCAAATTTAATTACTCTCCTCGACCACAAGTCCCGCTTCTCCACGTTCTACTTCCTTTTTCAGCCCCACAACATTTCTTATCCAAAGATGATACCGAGATAGGAAAGAATATAGATTCGTTTGATACAAATTATTCAATCGAAGACATCAATTCCGAAGGTGATCAAAATCAGGCATTTAATAGATCAGAAGATGGGGATTTTTTACATGGACCTGGCAATAGAGCAAGAGTCTTTCTATAGTGAAATTTCGGCTATACCACATCCCAAGGAAAAAACTAAGGCCAAATCAAAAGTGCGAGTCCGTCGCTCAGCTAGATTGAATAAGGATAACTAGTTTCCATTAGCTAAAATTGTATTTTTAATAGGATTTAGTATATTTGATGCCCTAATTTTTCCATCATTTAATATATTTCTATCAATTTTTTTAAAAAATAATGAAAACATCACGAACCACCAGAAGTTGAAAATCTATAGTACTTAATTAAAGCAGCAAACAAAAAGTACATGTGTCAGCACCACAATGAAAATTTTCACGCCAAAAGCTATTTTCAGTACAAAATCATTTTTTACACGTGGCACTCTAACTAATCAGAAAAAAAAGATAGAATAGAAAAATATATAAATCCCTTAATTATAGCTACATAAAAATATCTTAATTACAGGTATATACTAATCCCTTAAAACAATAATATTTAGTTGATAACATCAAATGTAAGGAAATCCCTTTAAATCAAGTGAAACACCAGTAATGTCTTCCTAATCCCCAATTTCAAATAATCTCTTCCATTCCGCTCTTCTCTCACACCCGGGCCTTTAAATCAATTACTTAAAATCTGATATCAACTATCAATCCATCTCCTTCTACAACAGAGAAAAAATAAGCTGTCATGAAAGAAATTTGATTTTTTAAGAATGATTTTTTTTATTCTTCTGTTGTAGATATTGGTTTATGATTTATGTAAACCTGGGCATAAGTTAACTGTTATAAATTAAATGTTATAAATCTGGGCATAGATTTATGTGTAATAACTCACTTTCTGT